ACATGAAACTAAAGTATTTTGTCATTAAGAAAGAAGTCCAGAACAATAAGTGTACACATATTAAAACGAACCTCATGAGTGAAAATCCATTAAATTAAAGTCTAGAACGAGTTAATGCAATCATGTGTTTACCAAACACTTAAATTGGAAATTTTGATACATTAAAACTTTAATGTAACTATAAGTCGTAGTTTCACTGTTTTAGTGAAATTTAATTGACTAAAATTCCAACTCCAATACTATATAAAATGATCAATCTCCACATCAAATGATAGTGTCGTGTTCGAAACCATGCTTTTCCAGAGACGTATAATTTTTTTTTTTTATTTTTGCCTCTATTTACTACTATTTTCCATGACTATTTTAAATGTATACGATTTCGCTTCAAAATTCCGTAAATTAAAGCACTAACCATCCTTTATTTTTTTTTTATGCTTTTATATTTTTGTTTTGTTCCCACGATATTGGACACTGCCTAGTTGTTTTACATAACAATGAAAATAGAACATCCCAATACCGTCATCATGAATTTATAAGAAGTACACTTGACTACCATTAAGATAAATAAATAAATAAAATCTGTCTACTCTACTCTACATTGGCAACTTTGTAAAATATGATTTATGACAAGAAGGCATGAGAAAGTAAACAAAGAGTGCAAAATAGAAATAATATCTCAATTGGGATATTTTTTTCATCAGCTAGCCGCCATAGAAAGTTTCACTTTTACAACACAGAAAAAATGAAGCACGATTTCACCACACCCGGGTCTTGCCAGCGTAGAGAAACAACCCGACACGTGTCCCCTCGCCTTTGGCTCCCTAATAATTTATTAATTATCCAATTTTCTTAGTATTTAAACTTCCTCTTTTTATAGTATTAGCGATCTATTCATTCAGTCATCTCCTTTTATTCGCAAAATATTTTCACTATCCGCAAGTGTACGGTACAGCTATAGTGAGTGGCGAGCAAGGTCGTATTCCACAGAGATTGTTGTCAAAATAACTAAGTATCAAAATGTAAACGGTTAAATATTATTCAGTCTAATGCAAATTTAATTGGTGATTTTATTCTAAACTAATGAATGATTGCAAAATAAATTCTAACACTAATGAAGGCATGTTCTAAGATAAATCAAGAATGAGAAAATAGATTCTAGTTCCCTTGCAAGATTCTATCAACCTCTCGGTCTGTTTAGTCTCTTACGTTATGAATTTCCCAATTCTAGCAATCAACTATCTCCTCTCGGTCTCAAGTCAATCACAAATATGCATAAATACGGGCCCTATATTCACACAATTAATAAAAGCACAAGAAATTGATAAACGAATGATAAACCGGAATGAATAAACAAAATCACTTCATAAAATAGTCCGAGTACTCGCAAATCCTAGAATCTCTAAAAGGTTTAGCTACTAAACATATTGTCAAAACTCAAAATAAATAAATCCATGAGTTCAATGAAGAAGAAAAAGAGAAAAGAAAGAAGGACTATTGTCGCCGTTAGTTCCCGAATCTTCAATCTTGACTTCCTCGAATCCCTCGTGTGTTTCGTGCTTTCTCTAGGCCTCCAATGGTGTCAAAAGTCCCAAAAACGAGTTCCTCAGGTCTCTTTTATACTGTAGGGCACTTCTAGGTCGAAAAAGGAAAGAAATCGCACAAGAATCCTGTTCCCCGCTGATCAGGTCTGCGCGTCACACGAGTCGTGTCACATGCCACACGAGTCGTGTGACTTTTCTCAACATTTCGGCGAACTTCCAGACTCACACGACCGGGTCACACGAGTCGTGTGCGGTCACACGACCCGTGTCTCAATTCACACGACCCGTGTGAAAAAGGCGCAGCTGCGTTTGTTATTTTCTCAACTCACACGACCCGTGTCACCATCCACACGAGTCGTGTGGCCTCTTCTGCACCCGTTTTTGCCGTTTTTCGTCCCGACTCCATTTCCAACGCATTTCCGAGCATATTTCCTGCAAAACCAACGACAAAAACACCTCTATCATATATTAATAAATAAAACAAAATGGTGCACAATCAAACGATAACCAAGGCCTAATATCACAATATATCACTCATAATGCATGAAAATATGATGAATGTCACGTTCCCAACACTTATTACAAAGATTACAACACACACAGTTACTATTTACGGCGAGAGAAAGAAAAAGAGACCAAAAAAAAAAATCAACTTTATCCGAGATTCGCATACCTATGAACCTTTCTTATGTCCTCAGAAGCATTATAAAAGGTGCTCAAATGGTTGATTGGGTCTTAATCGAGGGCAAAATGGGGAGAAGGAAGTTGGAGATAAAGCGTTCAAGGATAAGAGCGCGAGGCAGGTGACTTTCTCCAAGAGGACGACTTGATTGCTAAAGAAAGCCAAGGAATTGTCGGTTCTCTGCGATCTGGACATCGACATCATTATCTTTTCCTGCAGAGAAAGGCTCTACCACTACTCCAGCAACAAAAGGTTTGATTTTCCTCTACGTTTTTTTTCTGTGATAAAGTTGAGATCTTTAGTCTGTTTTGCCTATTTATTTTTCAATTTGTGAGTCGGAATATTACTATTTTCGTCGTCTTTTTGCTTTTGGAGCCCTAGGTTCCTATTTTTCTCAAGAATAAAAACTTTCAAATCCCCATATTATAAAAAAGCTTGCTTTTTTGCTTTGCGCTTAAAAGCGTACGTAGCAGCTGTGTTTTATCGTTTCCCTATGAGATTATCTTGAATTTGGAAGCATAGCAATTCGTAATTTCTCTTCTTCTTTTTCTTTTTTAATAAAAAAAATAAGAAATCAAAATTTAATCCCCTACCCACCCCCACCACCCCTCCTGTGGTTCTTGATATTCGAGACATTGAAACCATATGAAATTAAATTTCGTGGAAAGTCGGTCAATTTTTTATTACTATTTTAAAGGTCTGTTTCATTTGTAACTTTGTTAATAAATGGTTTACCAGATAGAGATGGCTTAGTTTGAGACTTTGTAACTTTGTTAATAAATGGTTTACCAGATAGAGATGGCTTAGTTTGTGACGGGCTGCTTTTTGGTGCCTGGTTTTGACTACGTGCTTCATATATAGAAATAGCAGCAGTGGTTAGTGGGAGCACACTGCTTACTTTAAAAATCAAAAGTCAAAAAATTCACACTCATTCCAGGAGATTATTAATATGGAGCTTTATGGACGCAGTTGGAATCCCCTTGCTTTTATTGTAAAATTGTACATATTTTGTATCTTGTGTTTCTTGTTTGTATTATTTAATGTAGGAAGATATTACTAAGAGATCATTGTTTATATGTCATCTTTATTTTGTTACGATAATACTTTGTGCTATTCATAAGAAAATAGAGCTGATGATAATCATGTGTGGTTTCCTTTGGAATCCTACTAATTAATAGATCAGCTCAAAGGAACAAATTGAATCCCCTCTCTGATGTTTGTTGTATCGCATCAATCCTCTGGATGTCTTTGGAGAGCTCCATGGGCCTACCTATGTAAGAAATTAAGCACGGATTATAAGTATTAATAAATATGATTTCCACCATATTTTGATATAGTAGTTAAATGCATCTCGTTTTAAGTACATGCATATTAAACATGAAAATCTGACTCTAGATAGAATTTCGGAATTTCGGTGTGTATAAAATTGAGTTATTTATAACTCAAAGTTGAAAGGACATGAGAGCAAGCGAAAGCGATCGAGTTGGACTCATCTAGGCTCGTTGCATGTTGTGATAGACAATGGTTCGGAGGAGATCGTGTAGGCGTGCAACCGAGCAAGCAAAGTATCACGACGTTGGGATTCGTCGTAGCTCGTGGTGGCTGTCAGTTGTGTGGTTTTATTCGAGTGTGTTTGGAAGAATGCGCCTTATGACACACAATCATCGCTGCATACTAGGGTGTAGGCAGAATTTTTTATTAGCTGGGTTGCAATATGCTGCTCTTATTCAAATCTAGTTGTCTGCTAACCTAATTCGATTTGGCTCGTGAAAGCTCGAGCTCGACTCGCTTACGTATGTAAACGATTCAAACTCAGACATTTAATCGAGTTTGTTTATCAACAAAATCGGTGCGAACGTCTTCGCGGCCAACTCGATTATAATTTTTAGTTTTGATCTAAGTTTGTGGTTTACTAAATGAGTCAAACCGAGTTTATACATGTTAACTCAAGCCCGCATTTTTTGTTTGCTTATTAAACAAGCTGAGGAACACCAACTTGTTTATTAAAATAAGCACGATTTTGAACATGAAGTACTCAACTTAAATTATCTAGCTTGATGCATGTATAAAGAAGTCATGCATGAAAATATTTTTTAAATATTTGATATAAATTTATATGAATTGCATATAATAAATAATATTAAAATATCAATGTTGCATTGTAAAATAAAAATATTAATTAGTATACATTCTAGTTTTAAGTATACGATTCTAACTAAACCTTATGAATTATTAACTACTCTGTTATACATATGATAAATGATCATTTGTAATTAGTTAATTATTTTTTTTAATATTTGTAATTTTTATGTACTTGAATTTAATTAGAAAAACGACATTGCTTATTAAAAAGACTACTACGTGCTTGTTAAATTCGGTAAGAAACGGGGGTAAAATGAGTACGTCATCACCAAGACCCACATAGGCTGGCTCTAATACCATGTAAGAATCGGAGATAGATCGGGTGCGTTCCCACACGGATGAAGTGCACCATAGGAATTCCACATGAAACCCAAGTATGGTTCCATCCCAAAACTAATTGGTGAAAGGAGGAGTAACCCACTAATCTTATAAGTTGAATCTATTTTCTCTGCATAAGCAATGTTGGACAACTCACAAGTGATATTCTAACACGCCCCATCACTTGGTGAGTCCTTCATAAGAAAGCCCAAGCCCATATACGACGTCGGGAGCCATTGTGTAAACAAAAAATAATTAATGCTCATGTATAAAATTTGCTAATAGATAAAGGTTAGTTATATGCTAAATATAGATAAAAATATTTTCCCGCTCAAAATTATGTCAATTATTGTAACAAAGATTGGTCCATTACGAACTGAAACTTCTGAAATTGTGTCAATAGAAATAAAAATATTTTCCCGCTCAAAATTACGAACTGAAACTTGTCTTCCCATCTTGGATCCCGATTTTTCATCAGTCCGCAATATAATCCAAGTCCAAAGCACAACAATTAGCCAAAAATTCCAGAATAAAAAATTGTCCAAATAACTATTACCCACTTACAAACTACCAAGTTTTCTTCTCCTCACCTTTGAAACAGACATGCCGCGCGTGGAGAGTTCGTAATGATTTTAGTTTTACCCTTGAATCCCGAGCTTCGTGATTTATATCTACAAGCTTAAATAGCTTTCTGTCTTCACCCACGCTGGAATTTTCCAGATCATTCGACATCTCATTGTCCTTAATGTTTTGTAAACAACCTCAATCACCATCAGGCATTTTGATGGGCGAACGTCAAAATTAGAGTAAAATCTAAATAGCATGTAAACAACCTCAATCACCATTTGCTTCTTGACACAGTAAAAATTAGAGTAAAATCTAAATAGCATGAATTTCAGGAAAATATATCTAAAAAACACGGCCTCATGATTCGTACGGAAGAAAAAAAAATGTGTCGAGGATCGAGGAGCTTTTTGCAGCATCAAATGTAGTAATGTACACATGAATTACTCGTTATATCTGAAGCATTTTTGCTCTTAAGTTTCAGTTAACAGAACATTCAAAATCCAATTCGAAGCTGCAGTCTTAGTCTCTGAATCTAAATGCACGAAGGGTGAGAATGGAGCAACAACGACTTGTCTAGATATGCTACAATCATCAAATGCACTGTCATTAGCAGTGTAAAGAAAAGGGAAATTTGTGTAAGAAACTTACAAAGCCATTTTTTAGAGCTTAGAAGTCGAGATCCTTATCATCTTCATCTTGTTCCTTGTCAAGCATCTGACTAATGAACTCATCCCGTTAGCTTATTCATAGAGACAACCAGGTGATTGTTGTAGTGTGATAACAGAGAAAAAAAAAGAAAGATATACTTTTCAAATTTAATCAAATCAAATTGGACGAAGATAAAATGAGAACAAGAGGGTAAAATGAAAAAGAAGAGAATAATGTATATACGTTCCTCATGATAGTTTTGATAAATTCAAAGTCGAATTACAAAAGGATTTGAAATAATATTTGTGGTCAAAGAATCAGAAAACAGTATTTATTCCCAATAAACTTACATCTGCACGGAAATACTTGCTTGTCTTTTCAAAATCAGATTTCCCAACAGCACAAACTGATTCAACCTCAATATTCTTCTTTTGAGTGACCAAACGCCGAGCAGTACCCTGAAGATCAAATGTGTAAATAAAAATCTGCTTCCGACAAGATAACATCCGAGCAAACAATCTTTTTCTATAATAATAATAATAATAATAATAATAATAATAACAACAATAATAATAATAATAAATAAATAAATAAATAAATAAATAAATAAATAAATAAATAAATAAATAAACAAAGGTGAACAATTTCGAGTTATGCACAGCAGCAGATGCATCACGACTGGGAGAACTGCATGCCAATGGCTGGCTTACAACCCCCAAAATGCCTGGTGCTCAAAATGGCTTTGCCAGCTAAGAGTGGACCTCCAGCAGCTACTCTTTGTAACCTTTATTCCCTGTCAAAGTATATGCAGACAATACAAAGAAAGATCCAATAGGCTATTATCAAATAAAACCATAATTATAGTTACACGACTTCAAACTACATTGATTATCATAAACAGAACGACTTGTAATCTTAAAGTTAGATCAAATGTAAATCTTAAAGTTAGATCAACTATGTAGATGTAAATAGAAGTTCAGAATCCAACCAGTACGGTTCAATTAAAATTGTGCGAGTCAAAATGAACCTAACCTTTTATTAAAAAAAAAAAAATGAATACGAACAACAAATGCTATCTCATCCTCTTCCTAAAATTTGAAACACATAATTTAACTTTTTTCTCGACCGCAGAAGATTGTAGAGACACTGAGAATTACTGATTTTGTTGGATCACTTTTCATCGCTTCTTTAGTAAGCTCTCCTCTGATAGTCGTTGAGGATTTGGATCGATGGTAGTCGCGCTGTCCAGCCTGCAAAACTTCATGGACATACTGTTGAATTTTTGTGACGAGCATCATGATTTTCACGATGAACGAACAGCGTTTGAAGATAAGGCCGGGTGGGGAAAAAAAAAGAAAATTCAGAATGAGTAGTAGTTTAAACAATACTTCCACAGGCCATAATCAGCTAACATTGACTAAATTATAGAATGAAATAGTACCTCGACTTTTCTTATCTAATACAACTCCTTCCGTTTCAGAACTTAAAACTCCACCGTCTCAAGATCTAGGAATTCAATATAGAAGAGAATATACATGAAAACAACCAACATACTCCTCCATCAACACTAAATCCAATAATAACAAATAAACAAATATATGAAAGCCATACCAAGAAATGATCGTATGCTAAGACCACCCGATATCAATGCTTTCTCAAAGCTTCTGCTCTCAAATTTCCTACTTGGAAACACATATTTCGTGGCCTCACTCACCAGCTCCTTCAAAACTAACATTTCAAAAAACAGGAAAATATATTTTTACAAATCCAAAAAAGAAGAAAACGAAATTTCAGTGAAGCAAATAAGAAGACAAAGCATAACAACACGAGGGTTTCGTGCAACAGCGTTTTCTCGAGGCCCGATTCGCGCAGAAATGCAATCACAAGTCGCGAAGTGGCCGGCAAACGTTGGCGGGCTCACCTCTTCGGAGGCTACGGTTGGCAAATTTGGACGGGCACTTGCTTTCGGGAGAGGAATTAACCATCTACACATGAAAAAAGGATTGAAATGTTTAAATTACAACAATAATCACCAAAGTAGTGAAAAATTAGGGCTTAGTAGTCAATACCATCGCTGTACATAAAGACTTCTACATGCTACAACTCACCGATGTACTGGACGAGCTTCTGAGCATCAGAGATGGTTAGGATCTAGATTTATTGCCGACATGGATGGCCTTCTCTAGGGCGTCGACGACGGTGAGTGAGTAGAGGGAGGACAGAGGGGTCGTTTGGCGGAGATATGATGGAACATGGTTGTGACTGGTGAATGCGGCGGAGGGGAGAAGGGAGCAAGCGACGGATGAAGTGGAGGAGAGAGGGAGGCGCAAGATAGCAGATGATAGAGTCGACGCCATATTTTGGGAGCGAGAGTAGATAGAGAACGATAATGAAGAAAAAGAAGATAAGAAGGTGTCTTAACTCCGAAGGTAAGACCAAACGCTGAAAAAATAGGAAAACAAAAATTTCCCATGGTCCGAAAAAGGCGACGTGGCCAACATAGAAACGAACTTGCCAAAGAAAATGTGTGCCACGTGTAATCTGCCTCACATTTTTTCTTAAGAGAGATATATATTATAAATATTGCCTCACATTGAGAGATATAAGAGAGATATTATAATCATAATATAACATTTTGTTAAGGCGGCTCAACATAACTGATATTCCTAAATCTGCCCGTCTCCTCTATCCAAATCGCCGTCCCCAAAATCTGCCCGTCTCCTGTATCCTCTCGTTTCGACTCTCGCTCTCGTCCCTAAGTTATCACCGTCCCCAAATCGCCTCCGCCAGTCCGCCGTCCCCAATCGCTGGTCCGCCCGTCTGTCGTTCCCAAATAGCTGCTCCGCGCCTCCGACGACTGTTAACAGCAAGGAGGTAAAGTTTTTATTTTTCTTATTTTTTGTTGAAAAAATTATTTGTTTCTCATCCTTGAGATTCTTAATTTCAGTGTGGAAAATATTAATGTTGAGCTGAATGTGAAACAAAATTTGTATCAAAATTATTATGTTAAGTTGAATATGAAACTGATTTTGTATGAAATTAAATACCAGAGAGAATTCAAATGATGTTATCTTGAGGAGCAATATTCGAATACTTTTACAGATTTGAGTGAAGGGTAAAATTAGTGCAATTTTTCTTGGATCAAGGTTGGAGGCTATGAAAATAAATGATATTATTTTCTAGGATATATTTCCTAATTATCTGACATTTGTGTTTATGATTTTGTGTTGCTGAGTTTTGTGGGGTCATCTGTATCGGGTCGGATCGGGTGTAGGGTAATCGGGTAAAAAACCCTATCTAACCCAATTGGCTGCACCGGGTATGAGGAATATTGTTTTCTATTGAGAAAAATATAATATTTTTTTTATTTTTATTTTAAATTATCTTAATGATATCGAAAAGATATTTTAAAAATTTTATATTCAATCACAATGTCAATAGGATAAAATTTGACCGGACACAAAAGACGCTAAAAATTTGTATATCCGGCACCACCAAATTTTGGTTTGACAGTTATACTGCTTGGAGAGAAAAATGGGTACTTTATATTTATTTATTCTACCCCATATTTTACTCACTTTCTCCATTCAAACTTGGTTTTACAAAATAATTCCTACTAGTGCGTATCCCGTGCGATGCACGAGTAAACAATACTAGTTAATGATTATAAATTAAAGATGCGGTGAAATAATATTAACTAATAATTATAAATTAAAGATGTGAACTTAATATGTAATATAATTTATCGTATATGAGTTGTAAACAATATATAATTCTCTTGTATAAAAGAATTTGAAAAAATGAATGTTTAAAGTATTAAAAACGTCTAAAATATTATATAACATGTGTAAAAATATCTAAAATTTTAAATATCATTATTGAAAGATGTGGAGTCATCTAAAATTTTTTTAAACTATTTTGTAAAAAAAATATGCCTAAAACTATTTATATTTAACATAATATATGTATATGTGTATGTGGACATGTATACATAGATAGGATGTGTACAAAATTGTCTAAACAATATGTTTAAAATTATATAAAATATTATGAGTCTAATAAAAGATAGTGTCTCGCGAAACGAAGTAAAAAAAAAAAAAGCAAAGCAAGGCATTAGATAAGTGTTTTCCACGATGGTTGCGATGGAGTCATCAGAATTCCGTAGCAAAAATTCACCAGGTATGTCAATATCTGCACAACCATCTTCGCTTCCTCCAATTGTTCCATCTTCAATTCTTGCAATCCACTTAGCAAACTCAACCAATTTATGGCACTCTTCATTCTCACCATGGCTCTGAAGTCTCACGTTTTTAGTCAACCTCACACTCGACAATCTTTTCAAATTTTAGATGCATTAATCGTTGCATTAAAAATGTCTTGTCGACTTCCTTTGGGCACAACAGGTAATATTTGCCGAAAATTTTCACAAAAAATAACTGTTTTTCTTCCACACACTTTATGCTTATTTGATGGATCGATAATAGACATTGTTGACTTAAACGTTTCATTAAGAGCTTCAAAACAACACTTATTCATCATAGGAGCTTCATCCCAAGTTATAAGGGATGCACAAATAATTAGTTCAGCAAGTGGACTCGACTGATTTATATTACAACTTGAATCCTCATTTGCTGAAATGGAATGCAAATCTAGAATGTGTCCTCCCGCAGGTAATAAAAGAGATGTTATTCCACTTGATGCCATATTAAGAACAATTTTTTCTTTGGATCGAAGCTATGATGATAAAGCTCTCCACAAGAATGTCTTTCCAGTTAGAAATGTTATAGGTACATAATATTGTACATAGGAGTGTACATAACACTCACATTGAATGGGACTTACCAAAAATAAAAAATCAAGTGGACCCCACTCCATGTAAGTGTTATGTACACCTCTATGTACATTTATTATATACTTGTAGCATTTTCTCTTTCCAGTACCACCGTAACCATAAACAAAAAATAGGTACATAATGAACATGTTTCATTATGGTTTCATATCCAAAATGTTGTTCAACAGCCATTGTTGACAGTAGCTTTTCATGTTCATGGCCATAGCTTTTCGATCATAGTTGAGTTCATCAAGCAGCATCCTATTAAGACTATTCTCACGATCATTAATAGTCGAGTAAGGCATAGAATTAAAATCACGTAGACTCCTCCAACGTCTTCGCAATGACTTCTCAACTTCGTATAGAGCCAAATTTTTTATCTCGTACTTGCCAATATTCAATTCTGCAATGTAATTATTTTAATAAGTCAATGCAGTCATATCAAAGATATTATGTAACGACATTATTTAAAAATTAATTTTTTTATTCTTCATAAATGAATTGATAACTTTATACCTGGAGAATTCAATAATTTCCGTTGATTATATAAAATATCATCAGATAGTGGCTCCCAACACATTTTTCATACTTATGCTATAGTATCAATTCAAATCATATAATATGCTTTAAAATCTACATTAATATCTGTAACCCCTTGGAAATCAATTCAAATCATATATTCTATGGAATAATTTAAAATCGTATATTATATGAAGGTTTACAGATTGGGGATGACAAAAGTGCATTATATATGCCACGATTATATTCTATGGAATAATTTAGAATCTTATAAGGTGTTACAGATTGGCGGATGACAAAAGTGCATTATATATGCCACTTATTACATTTAATATGCATTATATTATATATAATCACTAAATATGCATAATATTTAATATAATCACTAAATATGCCACTAATTAATTAAAATCGACATGCAGAAAATCTACACTAATATTTGTAACCCTCGGAAATCAATTCAAATCATATATATTATGCAACAGGCGTCCGCCCTGAACAAACATCGTCGAGCTCTGAAAACTCGCGATACTTCAAATAGCACCAATCTCACACATGGATAATAAATCAAAACTTTATAAAATCTCCATCATAGGTACTTATTCGCATCAACTATCATACCATAATGAAAATATAAAACGTAACAATTTTAATTCACTAGCTAGGGGTAGTACTTTTTGAGGTGCATCACATTCCAGGGCCGGTGCAGCAACCGTCCCTCCACGTCACTTAGCTCGTAAGCTCCACCTGTCAGGACTCTTTCCACTTTGTAAGGTCCCTCCCAATTAGGTTTTAATTTCCCAACATGTTTAAGGGCATCAGCCTGTCGCCAAACCAGATCCCCCACCTGGAAATGCCGGGCTCTTATCGACTTGTCATGGGCCACCTTTATCCGCTGCTTATAAGCTTCTGTCCCCACCCTAGCCTGGTCTCGCAGCTCGTCGACTATGTCGTGTGCCTCACGCTGCCGCACTGCATGTTCCTTGTAGTCATACGCATCGACTCTTGCCGAGCTAAGTCCAACTTCGCCTGGAATAACCGCCTCCATCCCGTAAACCAAGTTGAACGGCTTTTTCCCCATCGAAGCCCTCGGTGTTGTCCTATATGCCCAAAGAACCGAGTCCAGCTCGTCAACACAAGCTCCTGAAACTCTGCCCAATCTAACTTTTATCCTGCTCAAGATCGACCTATTTGCCACCTCGGCCTGCCCATTTGCCTGTGGATGGGCGACCGAAGTGAATTGCTGCTTGATCATCATGTTTTCACACCTGCTCATCACGCGCCGACCTCTGAATTGTGTCCCATTATCTGACATGAGCACTCGCGGAATGCCATATCGATAGCAAATGTTGGCAAATAAAAACTTAATCACTTTCTCTTCAGTAATCTTGGCCAAAGGCTCTGCTTCGATCCACTTCGAAAAATAATCCGTCGCAACCACCAAAAACTTGCGCTGGCCCGTCGCCTATTCCCCATTAGGCGAAAGGTAACGACGAGCTTATTGGCATCATACCTTCCGCAGGTCGGTGGATGAGCGGGCCGTGCTTTTGACACTTGAGACATTTTCGCACCAATTCGTGCTCCATTATACTCATTGTGGGCCAGAAATACCCTGCTCGCAACACTTTCCCGACCAGGGACCTAGCTTTCACATGATCTCCACAACATCCCTCATGAATTTCCTTCAACACATACATGCCCTCTTTCTTCGAGACGTACCTAAGGGGCGGTCCCATGTAGGGTCTCTTGTACAACACTCCATTTTGCACATAGCTCGCCTCCCAATCGGATCACTCCGGAGATCCTTTCCTCTCAACGGCTCCTGCAGCCACTTGACTAAAGCGACCTCCAATCTTCATGTTCGTCAACCTCCAAAACTCGATCCAAAGTACTTCCAGCTAATTCCATTAGGGTGATTAATCGTGAATTACAATCCACTAATGTTGCTGCCACCTTGGATAGATGATCTGCTCGGCCATTCTCCGCACGTGGTACTTGCACAGTTCCCACGACTCGAGTCCCTTTAGCAACAACCTCACCTCGGCCGCGTATTTCTTCATCTATTCCTCCTTGGTCTCAAACTCACCCTTAACCTGTTCCACTATGAGTTGAGAATCAGAATGAAAAATCACGCGCAGAGCTCCTTCCCTAAGGACGAGTTGTATCCTCTGTAACAGAGCCTCGTACTCCGCCTCAATATTCGAGACCTAAAAAGTTAACTTCACTGCGAACTCCAAATAGTCATCTTCAGCGGTGATGACTAGGATACCTAGCCCGACTCTCCCCGTCGCCGAGGATCCATCCGTATATACCATCCAACATTTTTCCTCCTTAGTCACAGTGCATTCTTGTATAAAATTTGCCAGGGCTTGCACCTTTATCGCCCGCCTTACCTCAAACTCGACATTATATCCAAGCTCTATCGCCCATTTCATCATTCTCCCTGAAGCGGAAGGTCGGCCCAGGACGTCCTTGAACGTGTAACTGGTCCGTACAATGACCTTATGCGCCAGGAAATAAGGCCGTAGTTTTGTAACTGTGGAAATGAGTGTCAACACTGCCCTCTCTATTTCTGTATAACGATGTTCAGCTCCCTACAATATCCTGCTAGTATAGTATATTGGTTTCTGCTGACTATTATCCTCTTTTAGCAACACCGAGCTGATAGCCTCTTTTCCCACCGACAGATATACAACTAGAACATCCCCAGGCCCGGGCTTCGTCAATAAAGGAAGCTCGGCCAGGAATACCTTCAATCGATCAAAAGCCTGTTGAGCCTGTGACGTCCACTCAAATCGAGATCCCTTTTTTAGGGCACGGAAGAATGAAAAACTCTTTTCCGCGGCCTGAGCGATGAACTTGCTTAATCCAGCCAAGCGTCCCGTCAAAATATGCACTTCTTTTAAATTCTTCGAAGTTTTAGTTTTTTCTTTTATCCCACCTTCAGAACCCCATCTCAACTTCGTCGACCCAACGAACTCTCTTATAGGTAGGAAAAAAACAATTCTGGAATTGGAGTTTTTCTTGATAGTTATATATAGATGTTAAGATGATTTTTGCACTTCTTTTAAATTCTTCGACGCCTGCATCTCTTCGACAACTCATACTTTCTCGGGGTTCACCTCTATACCATTCTCCGTAACCAAGTATCCTAGGAATTTTCTCGATCTTACCCCGAATTTGCACTTGGCAGGGTTGAGCTTCATGCCGTGGTGCCGCAAGATAGTAAACGTCTCCCTTAGATCCCTCATATGATCCACTGCCTGTTTACTTTTTATTAGTCTTTGCTAGCATATCGTCGATGTAAACTTTCACGTTTCGACCTATCTGGCTTTTAAACAACTTGTCGACCAGCCTTTGGTAGGTGGCACCTGCATTTTTTAGCCCGAAAGGCATAACGACGTAGTAGTAGGGGCCTATGGACGTCACGAAACTCACCCTTTTGCAATCCTCCTCTGCTGAAGGAATCTGATGATATCCTTGTGATGCATCCATCATACTGAGCAGCTCACACTCAGCTGTTGAATCGACAAGCTGATCTATCCTCGGCAACGGGTAATGATCTTTGGGACACGCTTTATTCATATCCCTGAAATCTATGCACATTTGCCATTTCCATTCTCCCTTACGCACCATCACCAAATTTGACAGCCACTCCGGGAATTGGATAGGCTGTATGTAACCTGCTTTCAACAACTTTTGCACCTCGGCCTCTATTATCTCGTCCAGCTCGACGTCGAAGTGCCGTCTCTTCTGCTTTACTGGCCGTACCGTTGAGTTTATGTTCAACCGATTCTCCGCAATCTCTGGTTTTATACTGTTGAGGTCGTCTGCTGAAAAGGCAAACACATCAACAAACTCCGGTAACAGTAGTATCAGGGCTTTTGTCACGCCCTCCTTTATATGACGACCTACCTTGGTGGTTTTGTCCGACATCCCTTCAATCAATTCAATTTTCATCGGCTCGTCCTGAGAGCTAACCCCTAACTCCTGTCTCCTGTCTTGGTGCGACGACTCGGGGTGGTCCCCCTGCTTCTGCCTTTTGTTCTGCACCTCCGGTGTCTTCAATGTTACCTCGTAGCAGCGTTAAGATTGCAGCTGATCCCCCGTAACATCCCCAACCTCGTCTCCACAGGAAACTTTACCTTCATACACCATGTAGACACGGCTACTTGGAAAGAGTTTAAACTAGGCCGTCCCAAAATGATGTTGTAGCCGAGCTCGCATCGACCACTAGAAACCTAACCATCTTCACTTTCCTCACCGGAGCCCTTCCTAACAGCACTGTTAAACTGACTTCTCCCATAGGTCGGACCTCGCTCTCACTAAAGCCATACAAGCTCGTATGCACTGGCTCTACTTTCACTTCCAGCTGTAAACAGCTCTAGAAAATGATGTAGGCCGACCTTTCTGTGTCTATAAGGACCCTTTGAATGTCGTAGCTAGCGACTTTGGCAGTAATTACAAGAGCGTCATTATGCAGGACGACAATCCCCTGTACGTCATGTGCCCCGAAACTCAGAATGGCGGAACTCGCCTATATCTGTACTTCAGCCACCTTGGTAGCAACTTCTTTTCATCTCCCGATGGGAGTCCACATCAGTAGATCCCCCAGCAATCGTATGGATTACACCCTTTTTCGCTGGCTTATCTGCCGGTTCATCCGTCATTCCTCGCTTATCACCTGACTCGCGCCGTTCTGATCGCTCCTCGTGGCGCTCCTTGTCTCTAATCACGAATTCCTTTAAATGTCTGGCTCTAATGAGCCGCTCAATTTCGTCTTTTAAATCCCGACAAAAGTTAGTAAAATGACCGTAGTCACGGTGGTATCGGCAGTATCTATCCCTCCCTGCCGAGGATTTTCGGGGTGGAGGTAGAGGCTTAGGCGGCGCAAGCAATTTGGTTTTCCCGCTGCTCCATAACCTCAAAAATCTCCTGCTGCGGGGCGTTCAGAGGCTTGTAAAGCTCGTACCTCGGCCCTCTAAACCGATCATCAGGCTTAGCATTCTTTTGGGGAGCTCGTCGTTCGGCCTGACGAGGCTTTTCCTCCACTTGCTTTAC